CAAGTAGCTCACAAAGTTGAATTTTTGCTCACAAGACTCCACAGCTCAGAGGGAGCATTAATGACAGCCATGGTTTCTGGACCGTGGACAGAGAATGGGGGCTCAGTGCAGGTTGCAACAGAGGTAACATTCGAAGGATGTACTTCTTTTCAGTTCATTTAAACAAAAAATAAGCCCCCTCCCATTATGATGACATGTCCATTTTCTTTGTTCTATTTTTTATTCTTTCTATTGGTTTCAGTGGGAAACACGTTTATGCCTTTTTGTTTTGTTTCCTGACCACCTAGAACAGGATTCTTGGGGATTGTTTCCTTTACTGAAAGATCCTCCCTGTCAAATTTTAGACAAGTGGGAGGGAAGGGTCCTCATTTTATGGGCAAATGGTATTCCCGCTGGCAGAGTGGGCCGAGCAGCGACTTGCCAACCCAGGAAGCAGGTTGAGGGCACAATGTATATAGTGTAATGGGCATCTTAGTTATGAATCTGCCTATTTGCACCCAAAGCTAGGGACGGATGGATCTGTTAAGCAAAACAGATGACCCTGACCCATGCTTGAAACATTTTTCTCCCTATCTGAGTCTGACATTTGTAGTGAACCAAGTTGGGTGAAAAATGCTTTCGCAACCAAAGCAGAGAGAGATAAGGGAGCAGGGTTAATTGCCCCTTGCTGGTACATTCTGTCATTTTGTTTGTGTTGAAAAGCAGGCCTTGACACTTTCTTTAAATGTGAATGGGAGGTAATGCTCACAACATACACACATAGGCACTCTCAAGATTATCCAGTAAATATTATCCAGTAAATATTAAATGTTAAATGAGCCATCAATTTAAAACACCTGGTAGTGCCTTAGGAGCTCTGCAACGTAGTTCAGGAGAGAGAGAAAACGTCAGGAGGTCATGGTAGTTATGATAAAGCTACCAGAAATTCTCTTAGCTATTATTCTGCAACATTGTGGAGCATTGGAACAGTGCCACCATATGAGATATATAGATGTGCTTGTCTTTTTTCCCTATCAAGGCAGATAGCAGTGTAGGTGGTGGTGGTGGTGATGGTGAGATTTCTTCTATGGAGACAACACCGCTGCTTTAAAATGAAATTGAAGATATCAGGAGATCACAGATCCATCCTCATCACTGATCTGTTGCATCTCATCCAGTCTCTCTCTCTCTCTCTCTCTCTCCCCCCTGTGTTATGATAATGAATGTACTGCATATGTATTCAGAGTGCTCAGCAGACATGGCATGTATTCCAGCATGTACAATCCTAGTAGGCATAGCTCCAGATGCATCAGAATAGCAAGCCAACAAGAGCCACTGTTAATGTATTATCAGTCAAAACTCAAAATCCTACCTGAGCAGGTGAGCCAGCCATCTCATTGCTACAAACAACATTTTAGAAAGGCTGATCTCTTAGTGCAAGCCTTTTGAGTAGCAAGTGTGTAGCTCTGCTGATTGGCAGACATCCCTGCCACTTACATATCTGTTGAATCACTTTCTCGATGCAGTTCTGTACCTTTTACTGGCAGCAGCTCTCTGGAAGACCAGTGTGCTTCTCAACACCAACAACCGGAGTTCTTTTTAACTGGAGATGCCAGGGATTTGACTTAGAAACTTCAGTATGCAAAGCACTCATATTACCACTGGGCCACAGCCCCTTCCCCCAACTAATATAAATATTCTCTAATGTTGTCATAAATTTTCCAATTTTTGTTATAATAATTACGTTATATATTTGTTATATAAAACTATATTAAAACACAATGTGTATTCTCTTTGGATTTTGATCCGGCTGCACATCCCTACTCTTTACTGTGGGTCCAGCACTAGTCAGGAACTAGGGTTGCCATCTTCCCGGTGGGGTCTGGAGCTCTCCTAGAATTATATCTAGACTCCAGAAATCAGTTACCCTGGAGGAAATGGAAGCTTCATATAGTAGACCCTATGGAATCACATCCCCTCCCCAAACTCCACCTTCCCCAAACTCTGTCTCCAAATCTCCAGGAATTTCACAAGCCAGAGTTGGCAGCCTTATTAGGAACTCATGGCAATGTTGTTGTTGTTGTTTTCTGGTTAAAACTGGAGGCACACCTCACTCTTTTACTGGATATCTATATATTGCTGTGTTTAAGTGCCATAAAGTTGTTTCTGATTCATGGTGACCCTATGAATTAATGTCCTCCAAAATGTCCTGCTATTAACAGCCTTGCTCACGTCTTGCAAGCTGAGGGCCGAGGCTTCCTTGATGGAGTCAATCCATCTCATTGATCTCTATTGATCTCTATCTATCTTCTTGCTTAGCTTCCAGAACAAGGGGGATCTTCAGTCAAGGTTGCAGTTCAGCACCCCCATTCTTTCTCATTGGTTGGAACTGGGATGGCATTCTGTTTTCAGTGCTGTACTGGTGCTTCTGCAATTCCCATTTGTCCATCAGCTACAGTGTAGGCTATGTCTGGCAATCTCACTGCCCATATTTTGCATGGAAAGCAGTAAGGCCTGGGGCTTTCCTGTTTCAAAGGGCATAGAGTGGCTGTACCACCGTTTTTCAAAGTTAACTTCAGCGCTTTTTCTGGTTTACTGATACACCATGATGGCAGATCACGGCTACACTGAATTTCCAAATATGGCTCAAACCTCCCTAGAAAAGGTTAGCTCTGTAAAAGTGGTATCACTCTGGCTCTAAGTCGTGCATTCTCATGATGTGGGTCTTGGTGCACGCCCTGCCACTTCTGTGGCAGCCAAGATGGGATGCTGAAGGCTGGGGTGGGTCCTAGAGAGAAATCAATCCGAGAGTTTGTGGTGGGATCTGTGTGTGTGTGTGATTCTGCTTCTTCAGTAGCAGAGTTGCAGTGTGTTCTTCATCAACAGCTTCTGGGTGGTGGAGGTTCTCAGGAGATGTTGGCCACATGCCCTAGTTAGGCTCCTCCTCCTCTTCTGAAGCTTCCTTGATTTGTGTCAGGGTCCTGTATCCCTGGGTCATCTACCACTGAACACATAACATTCTTGACTGGAGAATCTGGGGACTGATAGGTGGACCCTTTGTGTGGGCTTTTCCACTGAGATCACTCCTTGATATGGTATGAGGAGTTCATGTGGACGCAGGGGTCATTTAGTAGAAAAAGAGGTGCAGGAGCTCATTAGCATAACTCATTAGCATAACTCATTTGCATATGCCACACCCCCTGACAGCACCAGAAGTGTGTCAGAAGGCAACACCCACCGCTCAGGCTCCACTGGACTGTTTTGGATTGCTAGCTATTGGGGGGGGGGAATGTGCAGATCTGCCCTCTCAGAGGAGGGAGAGCTTATACATGAATAAAACTTGGTCTTAAAGGTGCCACTGGACTGTTTTGGACCGTGGGGCCGGGGGGGGGGGGTTTTTGCTCCTTGGGGCCGGTTTTT